GCTTTGGTAGACTCTAGGAACGTTGTGTCATGTGTTGGAGGTACCACTAAATTAAGCATAAAGGAATAGGTGCTGTGTAACGGAGAGGGCAAGGAGAAGAAGTCACAGGAAACCTGGGTTAAGGAGAGTTGCTGTTTTAACAGAAAATACAGGTTTGAGCTTTCTGACAGGACAAAAAGGGAAAATATGATGTGACATATTTATTATTATCTGTTAAGTTACTTGGGAGGAAGACATTTTTACACTAGCACTAAATGCAAAGAGGAAGTTATTGTGTGAGTCATAGGAGCAGGGACTTTGAACATACTGTTGAGACTGCATTTGACAATAGTAGTGATTTTTGCAAAAGAAACACTGAAGTTTTTCATGTTAATTTCATATAGACCTTAGTGAAATGCAGAGAGATAATACTAAATTATATTTCCATGAAATATTTTTTTGGATAGCTGAAAGTATAAAATGCAGGTATGCAGTGTTCTGGTTATTCACCTTAATACCAGCAGCAATATGGAGGGGAAAATGAGAAGAGGTGTCAACTAAAGGAAAAATCTGCGTCATGGTAGTGAACGTGAGGAATCTCTTACCTCTGATTGCCATTGACATAATCACTATCTAAAACTTCCAAGTAGCCGTTCTTAGTCGGGAATTAGCAACAGCGAATTGAGACAGAGTGACTTAAAAGAGTGAACTGAAAAGATTTAAAGCCGCGCTCACTTAGCTTGTGCATATGTGCATACAGGCCGTAATCCTATAGAATGATTTATTGCACTTGAAATAGGAGTCAGGAATAAAATGAGAAATTCCTAAAATGTTAAGAACTCTTATTCCCAAAGCGGTGCATGATACTTCACTGAAAATATGCTACTAATGTTAATGAGTCGTGTCAATATCATATATTGTTCAAAATAAATACAAAGTGCTGTTCAGCATATTCATTGCTCCTATTTTATTTCATGTTGCTAACCCTTGTCCAATTCCTGTATATACAAGCCCCACATTTTTTAGCCTCCTCTTAAACTAATCAGCAAAGTGCATAAAAACCCTTAAAGCAAGATAGCCTTGGTATTATTTCTAAATGTCCTTTAGAATTATGCAGTTAGGTCACCTCCTTTCCTTTCAAAGCACAGATTTACTCTGATCCTGGGAATCCTCATCTAGTACTAACAGACTTCAAACTTTTGATCATCACTTACAGTAAAACATGTCATACTAAAGCTTGGGCATAAGTGAAACAAAAGTTTCATAAGGCAGTTTTTACCCCTAGTACATTCTGATGCTTCCTTTAAACAATGCTGGCCTCCACCCAGTAAGTTGATTTCGTCACAGAGGGAATCAATACCATGCTTGGATAGAATCCCTGTCTCACCTTCTTTTCAAGGCTCCTACTAACCTAAGATGCGAACTACAGTGAGCTACCAGAGGCCTTTCAGTTGAGTCTTGCCATTTGCTGTTGACTTCATTAGGAAGTTTCTAAGAACTTCTAATTAGTATGGCATTCTCTGCCATAGGTGTTAGTGGAAGAATGACTTTGAACAGACATTTCAAGGCTTTTGTATTAGTGTGCTTGGGCTGTTGTAACAA